CAGATACAAAAAGTAAATTCTAGTGCTAAGCAAGGAAATAAATAGTAGTATCATAATTGCCAGGGAATTCAACACCCCACTGTCAGAGCTGGACAAATCATCAAAGGAGAAAATAAACACTGACTTAACCAGGACTCTAAAACAAGTGGACCTAACAGACATTAATAAAACATTCTACCCAATAACTACTGAATATACATTCTCATCAGCACATGAGACATTCTCCAATATTGATCATATCTTAGGCCACAAAACATGTCTCAACAAATTCAAAAAAATCAAAATCATAGCATGCACCTTCTCAGACCACAGTGGAATAAAACTAGAAATCAATTCCAAGAGAAACACCCAAATCTACACAAAGTCATGAAAATTAACCTCCTGCTGGATGATTATTGGGTCAATAATAAAATTAAGCTGGAAATTAAAAGATTCCTTGAATTGAATTACAAAGGGGACACAAACCATTAAAATCTATGTATTCAGCAAAAGAATTCCTAGGGAGAAAATTCATAGCCTTAAGTGTCCACATCAAAAAGACAGAGATCACAAATTAACAATCTAAAGTCACATCTCTAGGAACTAGAAAAGAAAGAACAAACCAAACCCAAATCAAGTGGAAGAAAACAAAGTTCAGAGAACAACTAAATGAAATGCCAAATAAAAAAATAATACAAATGATCAATTAAGCAAAGTTGGTTCTTTGAAAAGATAAATAAAATCTTTTTAGACCTCTTGCTAGATTAACCAGAAATAAAAGAGAAAGGACTTAAATGCTCAATCAGAATGAAAAAGGTGATATTATGACTAATCCCTCAGAAATACAAAACATCATCCATAGATACTACAAAAATCTCTATGCAAATAAACTGGAAAATGTGGAGGAAATGGACAAATTCCTGGAAACACACAACCTCCTAGGACTCAACTAGGAAGAAACAGAACTGAACAGACCAATAATGAGCAGCAGTATCAAAGCAGTAATAAAAAATCTCCCAGCCAAAACAAGCCCCAGACCAGATGTATTCATAGCCAGATTCTACCAGATCTACAAAGAAGAGCTGATACCTATACTACAGAAATTGTTCTATAACATCAAGAAAGAGGGGCTCTTCCCCAAGTCATTCTATGAAGCCAGGATCACCATGATGCCAAAGCCAGGAAAGGACACAACAAAAAAGAAAACTACAGAGCAATGTCCCTTATGAATATAGATGCAAAAATCCTCAATAAAATACTAGCAAAGCAAATTTAATAGCACAACAACAACAACAACAAAAATCCACCATGACTAAGTGGGCTTCATCCTAGGGATGCAAAGATGGTTCAACATATGTACATCAATAAATGTTATTCATTACACAAACAACAAAAACAAAGATCATATGATCATCTCATTAGATGCAGAAAAAGCACTGGACAAAATCCAGCACCCTTTCATGATAAAACCCCTCAACAAATTAGGCATAGAAGGAGCATACCTCAAGATTGTAAAATCCATATATGACAAACTCACAGCTAACATAATACTGAATGAAGAAAAGTTGAAAGCACTCCCCCTAAGTTCTGGAACAAAACAAACATGCCCACTGTTACCACTTCTATTCAACATAGTACCAGAAGTCCTAGCCAGAGCAATCAGGCAAGAGAAAGAAATAAAAGGTATCCAAATTGGGAAAGAGGATGCCAAACTATTGACTTTTGCTGATGATATGATCTTGTATCTAGAAAATCCCAAAGACTCCACCATGAGACTCCTAGAATTGAGAGATAAATTCAGCAAAGTCTCAATTTACAAAATAAATGTATACAAATCAGTAGCATTTCTATATACCAATAACAGACAAACTGAGAGTCAAATCAATGCCATTCACAATAGCTTCAAGAAAATAAAATACTTAGGAAACTTAACCAAGGAAGTCAAAGATCTCTACAATGAGAATTATAAAACACTGAGAAATTGCACATGACAGAAACAAATAGAAAAACATCTCATCCTTATGGGTTGATAGAATCAAAATTGTTAAAATGTCCATGTTGCTGAAAGTGATTTACATATTTGACACAATCACCATCAAAATACCGATATCATAATTCACAGATCTTGAAAAAATAATTCTATGCTTTGTTTTGAGCCAGAAAAGAGACTGAATAGCCAAAGCGATCTTAAGCAAAAAGAATAAATCTGGAGACATCACATTACCAGACTTCAACCTATGCTATTAGGCTACAGTAACCAAAACAGCAAGGTATTAGTACAAAATAGAGACATGGACCAATGGAATAGAAGAGAGAGAACAGAAATAAAATCATCTAACTATAACCACTGATCTTTGACAAAGCAGACAATAACACACACTGGGGAAAAGAAGCCCTATTCAGTAAATGGTGCTGGGAAAATTGGATAGCCACATGCAGAAGAATGAAACGGGACCCTATCTCTCATCACTTTCAAAAATTAATTCAAGATGGATAAAAGACTTAAATGTAAGGCATGAAACCACGAAAATTCTAGAAGGTAGGAAAAACTCTTCTAGATATCAGCCTAGGCAAAGGATTTATAACTAGCACCCCAAAAGCAATTACAGCAACACTGAAAATAAATGGGACTTGATTAAATTAAAAAGCTTCTGCACCACAAAGGAAATAATCAACAGAGCAAACAGACAACCTGCTGAATGGGAGAAAGTATTTGCCAACTATATATCCAATAAAGGGCTAATATCCAGAATCTAGAAAAAACTCAAATCGGCAGGAAAAAACCCCCCAAAATCCAACTAAAAAGTGGGCAAAAGACATGAACAGAAGCTTTTCAAAAGAAGATAGACAAATGGTCAAGAAACATATGAAAAAATGCTCAATATCACTAATCATCAGAGAAGTGCAATTTAAAACCACAATGAGATATCCTTACCCCTGTGAGAATGGCTCATAAGTCCAAAAACAATAGATGCTGGCACAGATGTGAAAAGGAAACATTTATACACTGTTAGTGGGACTGCAAATGAGTACGGCTTCTATGGAAAACAGTATGGAGATTCCTCAAAGAACTAAAAGTAGACCTACTGTTCATTCCATCCAGCAATCCCACTACTGGATATGTACCCAAAGGAAACGTCATCTTATTAAACAGACACCTGCAGTTAAACGTTTATTGCAGCACAACTCACAATTGCAAAGATGTGGAATCAACCCAAGTGCCCATCAATTCATGAGTGGATTAACAAAATATGGTATATATTAATATATACCATGGAGTACTACTCTGACATAAAGAGGAATGAATTAATGTCTTTTGTAGCAATTTGAATGGAACTGAAGTCCATTATCTAAAGTGAAGTATCTCAAGTGAAAATAAAACACCAAATGTACTCCCTAATAATTTGGAACTAATTGATGGGCACACATGGGTACAAAAAGAAGTAAAATCATTAGAAATCAATAAGAAGTGGGGGGAAAGGGAGGAAAGGATGGGTAAAAACCTACCTAACAGGTACAGTGAACAATATTCAGGTGATGGGCATACTTTTAGCTCTGAATAAAGCATTATAAAGCTATCCATGTAACAAAATCATTTGTACTCCCTTAATATTTTGAAATAAATAATTTAAAAAATAGGTAGGACCCTGAGATATACAAACTGGAAAACACATTTCTTGGTGTTTCAGTATAGTGCTTTTAATGGAAGGAAGTGCTTTAGTTAAGCCCTACAATGTTGATGACAATGACAACAATTACATCTTATTTGTCTCTTCCAAAGTGTGTTCCCAGTTATTACCTAGTTGTCTGGTTAAGCTTGGGGGTATTTCATAAGACATTATTAGATAGACAACTGTGCCATGTAGAAAAACGCACTGAGCATCCTAGCTCCACAATTTTAATCCATTACCTCCATCCCAACTTTAGTTTCTCATCTGTAAAATGGGAGTCATAACACCTATGTTTCAGAACAGCCCTGATGTGTAAATGACATATTCTTTAATTCATAAACATTCATTAAGCAATTTCTTTGTGCTAAGCACTGAACTAAGTAATGACTATTTAGTAAGCAACATTCTTCTTTCAGGGAACTTACAGCTTAAAAGGTACTTGGACATGTTAAGAAATAGTTGTAAAATAATGTTATGAATGCATGAAAGAGGAGTGAAGATATAGCAAAGTGAGGAAATCACTGATTCTGCTTTGAAGGATACCATGAGTTAAAAGGGCCCACTATAGTTCTTGGTATAAAAAAATACATGTTTTTTTCAAGAAATGACACATTGGCTCACTTTTCTCCTTGGCCTCATTATCTTGAACCACTCCCCAGCTTTTTTTGATAACTAGTTTGGTGGTAGGAAAAAAAAAAGAAAACAAGGGGAAGAAAGGAATGGAGTAAAGAGGGAAAGAAAAGGGCAAGGAGAAAAATGTGAATCCTAGTTCTACTTCTTATCACCTGTGAATTCTAAATCCTCTTGAGTTTTTTCTCTGTAAAATGGGAATGATAGTGTTCGACTCATGGGATTATCTTGGGAAATTACATAATGCAGTATACAGTAGATGTGCCAGGGGAATTGTCATTATTCATGAAAAAAAAAATTAAACTCCAGAAAAAATTAACTTAACGGATAAAATAGGTTAGACAACCACTTTGAACCATTTAGAAATGTGTATGTTCTCTGGTACTACATGATGGAAACACTAATTAAACAACAATATTCATCTAATACCATCTTCTGTGTATTTCTTTGGCACTTCAAAACAAAACTTTCCAAATCGCACCTAAGAGCCCTCTGCCAATTCTATCATAACTTCTGACATCATGCAGAGGTGAAGCTCAAGGAGTTCACTGTATTTAAAAACAAAGCAAACAAAACCTGAATGCAACATGAAGGTGACTCAGAAACAGAGGATGACTTACTCAGGGTACGCAGCGCAGAATTCAAGAGTACTCTTACTTTCCAGAGGAAATTTAGCTTATGAGAAATCCTTGTAACCAGAGTAGATATTAAAGAAAGTCAACATTGTACCCAACTTTATTATTCAGGGAATGAAACTTATTTACTAAAAGAATCCTTTTAATAAATTTTTCTTTGCACTGAAAAAGGCAGTTGCAGAGATGTCCTCTCAAGTCATTAAAACATAACCTGCTAGGAAATACGAGTTAAACACCTACTACAAGAATTTAGATCAAGATACATAATATGCTTTAGAATGATTTTTCAACAGAAAAAATATGCAGTTCATTCAAAGATACATTAATTAGTTCCTTTCAAATTCAATGTCATATCATGAAAAGCAGAAAAGCACAAGAGATAATTTCTTAAATCCAATGTTTTTAGTAGACTATTTTTTAAGATCAGAAAGCATCAAGTGATATTCTTTTATAAAAGCAAATTCTTTATTTCTGTAAAATTTAGAGAGAAATTAACATCAGTGTATTATACATTGCCCAAATATAACCAGCGCCATTTCCAACAGAGAGGAGTTATAATCTTCACTGCCAATTGGAGCAAAAAAAGTAATTTTTTCTGGACTAAGGTCTATTTTTCTGAAACCCTTTGAAATGGCAATTAAATTTACATAGAGGGACCTTGTGTAAATTCTGAATTCTGAAAGGCAAAGATGCAGCAGTCATGAGAATCCAGTCATAATAAGTTTATGTGACCTGAAAAGCACTAATGTCTTGGTATGTGTCTGGGGTCAACTGGGTGCTCTGGTCAGAATGGTCCAATGTTAGAAAAGAGAATCTCATACAATCAATTAAAGTGAGCTGATGTTCTTTTGATATAAGAATACTGACTACATCTCATTCTAGGAGCACAATGAAAACATCATGCCTATTTTCATCAATTTGGATGAATTATTTTTATATAGATTTAAATTCTTTTAATCCTATCTGTGGCAATTTTTTTCTTAATCTGAGTCTTTGTTATTAAATTTTAAAAATAAAGAAAATGAAGATTTTGTGTCTAAAACATGACTTGTTTAGTAAATAAGATTAGAGAAATATAAAAGAAGAAAAATCTTTTTTTTTTTTAAAAAAAGACTGACTGTTGGTTTCTGACTAAAAGCTCCAAGTTCCAATTCAATATTAAATATATTCTATGAAATTTTCAATGTTAGGCAGAGATTTGGCTCATTTACTAGAACAATTTTACAATGGGCAATACTGCTCTGGTGAGATTGTTGCCTCTGCAGAATGGCATTTTATTTAACAGATAGCATGGACTTCATAAATATCCATTATCAGTGCCTGAAAACCAAACAACTTTAAAAGTTAGCAGCAGTTTCTGCAAGTACAAAAATACACATTTATTACATAACATATGGTAGTAAAATTTGTCAAGATATATTATACAAACTCAAAGCCTTTTAGATAAAGCATCAGTCTAATATATTATAGATTGGAGTATATTAAAATGACATGTAATCTGTCTTCAAATCATACAATATATAATACTTTACAACAATATTAACAAACTTCACATTAAGTATTGCAGGAGTATCTAAGGGAACAGAGAGCAGGAATGGTTACTTAAAAAAAAAAAAACCTCAGCAATTATTTTCTTCAATGCTTCAAATTGGGTGGATGATTTTCTACCTGCCAATATTAAAGAAAAAAATGCTAGAACTATTATTTTGGTAAATAGAGAAGCAATTTCTTCCAGAAAGACACTCCAAGCTCTAAGAGTTTCATTCAAATCTTGTAGTTTATTTTATTTTTCCTGGTCCCCTAGGAAGGATGCACATCTTGCAGTTCTGACAGTAGTATGCCCTAAGGGTAAGGGGAGTCCCTGCTGACTTTATATATTATACAGAAGATACATATGGATACTTAATCTTGATATATGGGAGTGGTTAGTTATAAGGTGAAATTGACTTGATATCTGTAACTGAGATGGCCAGTGTCATGAAGGAGCTCTTTGGACACAGAGTTCTGAATGTTAATTATCATTAGGGCAAACGGGGCCATGCCTCCAGGAGGTAGGTAGCACCTATATAGCTAATACTGAAATAACTTCTTCAATCTTTAAAGAAAATACTTTTTTCTCCCATAACTTTAGGACAACAGGGAAAGAACATTTGATATGACAGTTTCCTGGTGATAAGAAAAGCAATTTGGAATAACCTGTTTTGTGGGAGAAAGGTCCATCTGATGGTGGACTAGAGAGATCAAATGGGCTCTGAGCAACTTCTTGTAGGTAAGTAGTTAATGTGAGGGAACATACACATCTGCTTTTAGTGCCACCCCTTCATGTTGGTTGGCAAGACCTGACAATCTATTCCTAGGTGAGGAGATGTATTGTTATGGCCTTTAAGTCAAGAGACAGGAAAAAGGTCCATGAATATGAAATAAACTGATGGGGTATAAGCCATGAACCATGGTACAAAAATATGAAAAAACTCCTAGAAGTAACAAAACCAAAGACAATGACTGTCTCAGAAAGCCTGGCAACCACTTGGTGAGATATTCTATTCTGTGACTCTTTGTAACCTGCCAAACTCTAAATCGCTCTCTCAAATGCCAAACTGCAAACATCAGAAAAAGAATGATTTATAAATAACTTTTTCTGTCTGAATGTAATCCAAGGGGCAGGACTGCAGGGAAACATTTCAGCACAGAGGTGCCATGCTTTGATCACATGCTTGTAACAGTATTTGTGTAACTGAGAAAGGACAGTTATTACGGTCTTTTCCTCAACACTAAGATAGTGAATGCTGTCAGGAGGTCACCTTCTAAATAGGAAAATTAATAGAATAAATAGGAGAAGTTGTATTTCTGAATAATGTTCCTAGAACAGACACCTTTGAAAGGGCAGATTATTTGGCAAAAATGTAATGCTAAAGAGTTATGTCACCTAAGTGTTTGGGAGGCTTTCCCTTATTAAAGCACTAGGAATCCTGAGAGGACTAGGGTATCATGAACCACCACTTCCTTTTCCCTCACAGCTCTTTTTCCTGAAGCCTCTGTAAAGTACTTCATCACTAATGAAAAAAAACAAATCAATAAATGGAGCCAAAAAGAAAAAAAACAAACAAAAAACTGACATCACGGTACCCAGGGTTCTTGAATCACTACTTTTTCCACTCCAGCTGCATGAACGGGCTGGTTCCTGGAATGATTCTGTGAGGACATGTGACTGTAAAATGCCACAGAAATGGCCACTGGCTTAGATTTAGGGAAAAGTTTTACGTGATTTACTTCATTATCAGATGTGCTTTTCTTCTTAATACTTTGATTAGTAGCATTTTTGCTGCCTACTTATTAAAATGAGGATGGTTTCTCTGTACAACTTCTCCTCTCTCCCCAGTCCCTTATTCCTCATTTGTGACTCAGGACACTAATCTCACAGACTGTTCACACAAGCACGCTTCCTCTACAGAAGATGCTTTCTCTAGTCCTCTGCTCGTATCTTTGGAAGTGCATGACAGGACCAATCCCGTGCTTTAGTAAGGGAAAGCCTCCACACTTAAGTTACAGAATTTTTTACCATGACGTTTTTGCAAAATAGTCTTAGGGCAGCAAAATAATTCTCTTAAATATTAAGTATTAGCAATGATTATCCATATGCTACCTCTCCCAGGTAACTTATACAAAGGGGTCATAACAATTATTTTCTTTATGTTGTTATCCCAGTTCCTGTTCTTGTGGACATCAGTTTCTTATTGTGGTTAAATGTCTTTGGTTAAATGTTTGTCCCCAACATCACAGACCACTGCAGGCCCTGAATCTGGGCTGGCCAAAGCCTCCACAGTCCAAGAGCTGGCTGAGGCTCTTTCACAAGGCAGGGAAGAGCCCTGGCCACCATGCTCTACTTTCTCATGTGACTTCATACACAGCTTGAGTTTGCTTTCCACCAGGCTGAATCGAGAGCTGCAGCGTCCGCCTGAGTCCTGGCAGGGAGAAGAACTACACCACTGGGCTGACTGCACAGCTCCCAGTCCCTCAGCTGCCCCTAAGGGAATGTCATTCTGTTTCTCTTGCAGTGAGATGTCTTCTAGAACACCAGAAGCATTTGGAGGTAGCTCCCAGGGTCCTTTTAAAGAATCTATATTCTTTTCCTCTGGTCTGGCAGCCTTTGCTTTCTTTTTGAGGGACCAGTTTTTCAAACTGGCCACACCATTTCTCAACCACGTGGTGGGATGGAGAGTGACAGAATGTGTTTGTGAATGCCATTCTTTGGTGTCCTTTTTAGTATACGCCGGGTAACTGCTGGCCTGTCCTAATGAGGGACCAGGCATTCCAGAAACAAGGCTGGAACTGCTAGAGTCAGAAGAAAGTTTTTCTTGTTTTCTTTGAGCCTGAAAACTACAATCTATAGGAGAGGAAGTTTCAATGGGTGTAAACAGGGAGTGTTCAGAAATCTGAGAAAAAGCACTGTCCTGGGAGCTCACAGGTGTGCCTGATGGGGAAGTGCCTGGAGAGGATAAGCTGGAATAGCTAGTCCTTGGGTAAAGGTTTAATCTTGGGGGTAAAACCTTCTCAGTGTTTTGGTTTGTGGCGCTACTCTTGCCCACCTCAATCCCCAGGACCAAACTCTGACTAATAAGCTTTTGTCCCTCTATCTGCAAAAACTTATGCCGTTTGAGGTAATCCTCTTCATGTGAGAGAACAGATTCCCAGCTGCTTTTATGCTGCTTTGAACAAACCCCCCAGAGAAGAGACAGCTTGCCTTTCTGGTCATCTATGATGGGCTCTGAGCAGCGCCGGTGTTTCCTTGAACTCTTGAGGGCATCTGCTGTGTGTGGCGGGGAGCATCCAGATGTGTCCACATCAAACAGCTGGTTCTTGGAATGATCCTGTGAGGACACAGAAATGGCCAATGGCTTGGACTTATGGTAAAGCTTTAAATAATTTCCTTCATTACCAGACAGGCTTTTCTTCTTAATGTTTTGATTAGTGGAATTTTTCTTGCTGGTATCAGTGCTTGTGAATAGGCTCTGTTTAAAACATGTCTTAACCCCTTCCTGGAGGGGTTGATTCTGCTTCAGATAGTCCTCATCTTTTTGACAGAGAACTGCATCACAGCTGGACTTGCGTAGCTTTTTCTGATAAAACTCCCTGAGATAGGAAAGCTTTGAATCCAGATAGTGGATGCTGGGCTCTGAGCAGCGCCGGTTTCGCCTCATGATTTTTGCAGCATCTGCTGCAGCGGTGGACAGGTGGTGGGGTGTGCCAGACGGGGCCTCAGCAGGATCCTGAGGCAGGATATTCATGCACATTCTAACATTCACCGGCTTGGATTCAAGAGGGTGTTCCATTTGAGCATGTTCTTCTTTAGGATGGTCTAAGTCAAAGTCATTCAGGGTTAAAAGGTCTTCCACGTCAGGTTGGTCGAAGTCGTAGTCACTGAATGTTAAAATAGAGTCCATGCTTCTGCTCCCCTGGCCAAGTTTCTTTACCAGGTTGCTGCATGGGGTATCAACATCCTCATTTAGTTCATTTTCCAAGCTGTCATACGAGGAGTCACTCAGTTGGAAGCGAGAAATATCTGTCAAAAAATCAAACCATGATTAATATTTTTACTTAGCACAAATACAGCCCATACTGCCTTAAAAACAAACCAAGGTGCTTAGTTTAATTATTTTTCCATGTAGAGTATGCAAATTCCTACTCTCAAGAAAGAAAGCATCTTTTAAAATCTTCCCAAATGTTAGTACAGAATAAAAGAAGAAATACCTATTGCAGTATACTAGACTTATCTCAGGTCCTGATGAATGGGCTTTCCTTAAGTAAGATTTTCTCAAATCAAGGAACATGTCATAAAACCATGTGAAACATATGAAGGAATTATTAGCAGATATACCTAGATTCTGAATAAGACTCTGCCTTGTAACATGGATTGCTGTTTGTTATACATATTAATAATTAACTCTAGTCTTGGAGAATACATTTACTAACCTATCAATTTCTCTTTTACAAAGTTCCTTAATACCCATTATCTTATTTAATACTTACAATAACCACGAAGACATTATTTTTATCCACAATTTTATAGATGAAGATACTGATGTTCAGTGGCATGGAGTAATTGGCCAAAGATAACTAGTAACTGGTGGTATAGGAATTCATATTCTGGAAGGTTGTTTGTCTTTGAATTCAGTGTCCTCCTACCCCCAAATGATGCTGGTTGTTTTCAAACCATCTCATAGCACATTAGAATTCTGAGAAGTATTTCAGGGACCAGGAAGAGGAAGGAGAAGAACAAAACCAGGCCTCCCTCTACTATCTCTGGGCTTTCTATTCTAGTTTCCACCATAGCTAGTTCTATCATATATATTAGGGTTCCTCATAAAGTTTTATTTAAGAAAAGGTTCAAATCACCATACCATAGCATGTTGCCACTAATAACTTCTTGGAAGCTGGGACCTCATGTTATACATTTCTTAACCCTACCAAACTGTTAACGTACCCTGCCTATTAGCAGGCCCTCTAAGAAAGGATCAGAAGCTCTGGGGGCCACTGACCCAGGTCAGAGGCTCCCTTCACCTCAGCTGCCATGGGCTCCGGGAAAACCACTGCCCCAGCATCTTCACAGACGTGTCTATTTTTCACAAAAACTAATCCAATTATTCACAATACCTGAGGTGTTTCCTCTAGTGTCACATCTCCCTGAAACCTCTCCGAAGAGGGAAGTGATTTCTTCTCCAAATATCCTACAGCAATTTTCAATCAGGAATTGTAAAAGCAAGGTAATCTATACAAAAAAAGACAAAAATGAAGTGCTAGTTTTCATATAACACGTTTATAAATCACATTTCATATATAAATTCTGATTTTAACAACCAAAAAGCAAATGTGTCCTGAGAATTCATATCTGCTTTAAGAGTACATAAAATAGTTACCCGTAAAAAACAATGATATTTTCAGGAGTAGTTTGGGCACTGGGCATAGAAAGTAATTTTAATCAGTAGATTGTAGTTATTATTTGTGGCCTTGGCTCAATGTTAACATTTTATACCAATGGCTCTCTATCTTTAAAATTAGAATTTTTCAAGTGTTCTCAATACGGTGTTTGGGGTGAAGAAATATACTCTGTTATTAAAATTTATAAAGCATCATTGGATAAAAACTTATGAAAAATATTTTTCATGTAAAAGGCAGGATATCAAAAGCTTGGGAAAGAGGGATCCTCTGCAGATGTATAGTGAAGGAAAAAGGCAGCTAGAAAGAAAATTTGTGTTTTTCCTGACCAGTCTTTACCCCATGCATTTGGCTGACTAGGGTACATACGCACTTCCAATGGGCTCCCTAACTGGAGGTGCCTGGGGAGGAGATACAAGTTTATTAGGGAGCTTTGTGCCTCCACTGGGATGTAATGGAACCTGTCTATAGTTTCTTCCTCCCAGTAGCTAGGGCCAAGGGGCAGGAGAAATGTTGAGAGCAAAGGAAACTGATATCACCAAACACTTTATTAACTACCAGGCACTATAAGAGTATGATTTTTAAGTAACTACTGTATTATCACCACTTCTACTTTTTTAGATGAGGACACTGTGGGTCAGTGTAACTGACTTTGCCTAAGATAATACATCTGGCAAGTGGTGGGGCTGAGAATTGAACGTTGGCTTGCTTAATTCCAATGTTTTGTGTTTTTTTTTAAAAAATGTTTAAAATCACGTCAGCTGCTTTCTTACTGAGTCAGTCATAGTGCTTAGCCTCCTTAACCACTTCGGGACCAGCATCGACTACAGTTGATAGCCACAGATGAACGCGCACAGCTCAGCATCGACTATAGCCAACAGCCGTGATATGACTTTTCTAATTTTTCATTTATCAAAATAAAATTGTGAACATTTAAAAATGAGGTAATGAAAACATATATGTATATGTTAACTATTCTGATGTACATTACAAGTAAAGCTGCCTGTAAAGTAAAACAAGCTTTCAATGCTTTAAAGCTTTTTCTCATCACACAAGAGCAAAACAGATTCGTCGTCAATGCACAGCACAAACTATCGCGCGGCCTATGAATGCCAGCTGTGGGCAAGGTTTCGCGGCTGGTGAGTGCCATACCGAAGTGGTTAAAGACAAAAGAGAAATAAATCAATTGCTGTTGCTTTTCTGCTTGACAAATCACTTTCCTATAGTCTACCGGGATAGAATAAAACACTGCATAGTTAGTAAGCTCAAATTTATATGGAAGTGTATTTAAGTTATTTAAGAAATCATCTTTCAGGATTAATACCCAAAATTTCAGTTTCAAAATGTGGATTCAGTCTCCCAGGGCATACAATGAAAAACTTCATTACCTTTTTTGTAAATTCATTTTCTAGTTCTGGGCTGCAGGAAGTAGGAGGCCAAAGAACACTTGGAGCGATACACACCGCTAAATTAAATGCATTCATCTGATTGGATGAAGAATGTTGCTCAATGTTGTGTAATAACCCAAAAAGATACCTTAGGAGAACAACATTGGCTCTTGGAAGCTGGTCTAATAGCCTAAAGACAGAAAAATGCACTCTTTAAGCAAGACATTTCATTAAAAAACTTGTAAAGACAGGCAACCCTAACTCTGCATGAGGAAGAGGACAAATCGAGAACCCAGCTCGGATGTGCAGGTTTAAGTTAACATGGCACCCAGCAAAGTGAGGACTGCCTGTACAGAAAGAGAAAATAAGCAGTGGGGATTTAATTTTTTTGTATTTTTCTGTACTGTCTTCACAGCCCAATGAAAATGTAAAAGAATACAGAATAATGTCTCATTAAAAAAAAAATGCTGCCTGAAATATTTCCCTGAAACTAGAACAATGTGTTCAAACGTAGGCAAATTCTGTGACATTTGAGAATATTCTCAACCAAAACCCACAAGACCTTTTTGAGAAAATTAAACAGCAGTTAAATTTATAGTGTTCCTTTATGTCCAAGTAGCAACACAGGAATGCTATCTTTTGGTGAGAACACAAACCTCAGCTATAAAGACTTCCACATCCATTCTGAGAGTTTATCCTCTGTTCCATCAGCTTCTAAGGTTTATTTTGTTCCAAATCTTGTCTCACTGGTATCACTTTCACCTATAAGTCAAACTTAAAGTAGTATAGTTTCCCCTGTTCCTATTTGGTAATTTATAAGGGATTTTTAAACGATCATTTATCAAAAAATGATTTTTACTATCCAGAAAACATACATAAACTGACGCTCATGATTATTGCTTTTATCAATAAGAATCTGTAACCCGGGGAAAGCAAGGTAGTCTGACTCCTATTGCCCACATAGCAGAAAAGCCTTTCTTCAGTATTAATAGACTGACAATGAGTACAGTTTTTGTTAAGGATAAGTTATGAAGAACTTTGAAATAGACCAGAAGATTACTGGGAGTATTCAATGGAAAATAAGGCATCGAGCATGTGCTTCTGGGATACTGTGGGATCCCTAACCCTTTTTATAAGAGCTATTTTACAACTCTGTAAGTTGTAGATAACTGTTAGCAGTGTACCTAATACTAGGATACAGACTTAAAAATTCTGTCTGGTTTATCTGTACCCCTGCCCTGGTATTAATAGAAAAGGCCAGTTTTGCATCTTTTAAAAATTCATTTCAGTACTTCTGATTCAAATACATAAGTTGTAACACTTTGAAATCTACGAAGGTGGTTACAACATCTTCCTAGTTTCCTTATTAATAGTTTAAATAAAATCTTTCATGCTTATTTTATATTTGCATGAGAGTCATAATATTACCTTTTTTTTTTTTTTTTTTTTAAAAATCACCCTTTAACAGCTTATGGGATATACACACACACACAAAATGTTCTAGAGAATGAGCAACCAACTATAGAATTTGATGCTATCTGGTTTACACCAAACTATAATGAGAGTGGAAGTATTAATAGTATTTTGTTACATGGCTTTAGTTTCTGGTACCTTCAACACCTGTACTATGTTCCACCTATAAAATATGTTTATCAATATCAGTATGTGGATCATTCCTATTTGAAAGTTTCTCAAGAAAAAATAAATTGTATTTATTTTTTTATTTGCACATACAAATAAATGATACTGGGATTCTTGAGTTTTCACAGAACTGGAAGTATCACTTTTTGTTAATGGACATTTCTTTCCTATTCTCTTATAATGCTGGAAATATCCAGTAATAGGGGTAGTGAGTTCTACCAGCAATTTCCCTTTGTGTGGTTAGAAACAGTACTTTCTTTGTGATCAGACTGAGACTTTGCAACTCCCTTTTCCCTTGACACTTTTCAAGGAGTTAACTGATTCTCTGCTGTGCTCCCATAGTACTCTCCAAATAGCTCTTGTATATCACTGATTACGCTGCATGTTGTTGTAATTCCTTGTTTATCTATCTTTGTTCTACCAAACTGAATTCCTTGACAAGAGGGAATAGGTCATTTTCTCTGTATACTTCAGTTGCTCAATGAATTATATAAGGAGTTGTCTAGTTAGTTAAATATTTATCAAAATTAAGATCATAAACTGTAGACTGGGCCTACAGTATTAGCTAGTGAACTAATGAATTACATACAGCTCCTATCAATTCAGATGGACAGAAGGTGTACAGTGTTCAACTACTCCATGTTAATAGGATTAGGGAGAAAAACAATGACAAGCTAGCATAAATCTATTTTTTAAACTGGTCCCCAGGAATATGACTTTAATTTTTAATAGACAAGCTTATAAAATATAAGTTTTTAAAAAGGATTTTTGAGACATGACCAAATTAGAATAATTACCTTTGAATTGTATTTATTTTCTCTTCATCATTTCCTTGATCCATTACACAGACCCAGCGATCATAGAGATCTGACGAAAAAATACTTCCTGGAATATTTCGTAGAAAATCCTTACATAGATGAAAAAACAAATATTTTAAATCAGTATTCTCATGCCAAATATGTATTAGAGGAGTCAGAAAGAAAACATTTTGTTGAAAAGTTCAGTTAAGTCCTCCCGCGAACTACACAGAGCTCTGTGCCAATTCTCCACTGACTTGTGAAAAAAGAAACAAAGACTTTGATTTTTTTTTTTTTCCTAACAAAAGTTATTGGGATAACTGAAGTCTGGATTATGGTGAGGAACATAAAAGACAACCTATCTGGGTGGACACTCCTGTTTGCACACATACATTTTGGTAAACTAGGACATGACAGAGTCTGGCAGTAAACCATTCTAAGTCTTCTTTTCCCCCCTTTCCCTTAAATGTCTAGTTCGAGGAAATGCACCAAGATATCTGTGGGGTTCATAATCTGGTAATCATTCATTTAATCATTCTATATGTGCTTACTCATATGTGCCAAGCTCTGCCGAGGTACTAGCGATAGAGAAGTGAATCCAACACAGTCCCTGTTATCTTAGAACTTTATATACCAGTGGTATTGGTGTACAATTGCATCAAAAGTTACTTAAGGTTTTTCCCTCTATTCTGTATAGAAGGGTTCTCATATATTTGGGGAAAGAAAGCATACCAGGTAACAGCCAGGATCTGGGAGCTTGGGGCAGCACCCTTATGCCTGAGGTATACCAAGCAACATGTCCACGGTACATTATTTATCCTTTCTTGGACACCTCATTCTGCTGAGACAACTGCAGAATGGGCTGGCTGGGCTGAAACCAAACCATGACACAAACAGGATACGACCAAGGGCATTTGTTGTTTGGCTTTTGTTTACAAAAAGCTTAAAAGTATATTTGGTCCTGGTGCTAGACAGTTGATTCTAAGCCAACTCTCTCTGCTGCTTTTGGTATGGCATTAGCAACATCAAACTTGCAGCCTGATCTCCACCTCAGTAAACTTTAGGTAGTGTAAACTCAATTTCATGTTTAAGCACTGTACCTGTGGTTGGCTACCTTCTTGCAATTTCCTGCTTACAACACAGAGATAAGTGAAAGTCTGCAACTGGGTAATTTTTGCTCTTGTTGGAAAACCAAATCAGTAACTTTATGTGCCTTACAGAAGGCAACATATCACTTGTTACTTATATCTCATGTTCGTATCACTGATACGGAAGCTGCGATAACTTATTACTATAGTTAGCTGATTGTGTGGGCATCTTCCCCACTTGCTTATTAAGAACTCCTCCAGGGTAGGGACAGACCCTCACCTTCTTTGTACACATCAATGCCAAGTGAGGTCTCAGCCATAGTAGAGGTCATTACTGAACAGCTGCTAGTGTCATATGGCCAAACATTAATGAGAGACAAGAGAAGGTCAATCAACTGTAAATGAAATTCTAAGGCAATTTTTAAGAATCTCTTTGTTATCACGTTAGTCTCATCATACTTTTTTCTTTTTAGATTAGTTAACAAGAAGGAAGATGGACTGATTCAAAGTCTTTCTCTGTTCTATCATGTCTTCCAGTAGAAATGTACCTGGATGATTGTGATTCACATATACCATCACAAAAGTTACTTCTTTTTGGGTAAAGCTATTGAGTTTTCATAATACCAAACTAATTTTAGCTGCTGCACCCACTCTAAAAGTCAGATTTAGAAGAGGCAAAATCTGTTATTTCAAAATGGGGTAGTGACAATAGCTCTTTTAAAATCTCAGTGGAAAACATAACTTATGATCTGTCTTCAAGAAAAACATCATTAAGTCTTAAACCTACACTTGGAAGATAATAACTCGGTAACATCTCAATGAACTCTCCCACAGCTGGAATAACAAGTTATGAAATACAACCACCATCACAGCTGAGATGTGAGATGTGGTTCTGAATTGCAATCACCAACTCACAGTACTCAACTGAAAGTATCCTCCTCCCCAAAACCAGAGCCGAGGCCATTATAACTCTCAAATTAATCTGAGATGAGATTCTGTAGGATCAAATATGAACTTTTCCTCAAAGGCCTAATGGATCAAAGTTATGGTGTCTCAAGCAATTTTTGTCTAATTATAGTTTAAAGAGTTAAACTTAAGCAAAGCCAGCATAAGTGAAAAATTAAAGGAAAACTTAAGTACCATTTCAAAACAGACTTAACAATAAGAAACAAAACAAAAGCTCAGAAACTTCTGGTAAAAATTATGTCCTTTTCTGTGACCACTTAGAAGAAATGGGAGTAAAACACAGTTATATAATAAAACTTCAATTGCGTGGAACCCATATAACCAGACTCTTCCATAATTTGAATCATTTTTTATCTTTTGCTTTTAGACAAGTAATATTTCTGTAATTTGAAAACACAATTTAACTCTTCTAGAACTACACTTCTTTGCAATAGCCTCAACAATTTTGCCTAAGATTTTAAGTGTGGTGCTATGAAGAATAGCATAGTAAGAAAATGTTTCTAAGACAGGCTTTACCTTCTTAAATTAAGAGATAGAAGAAAACCTGATTCTATGAGAAAAAAGAAAAACTCATTGTGCATATATATCATTGGTATATATAACTGGCTAAGCATACCATATATATCTTCATTGTATTCCAGGATTGAAAAGTAATTACAAACCCTGTGCAAAACAGATTACATGACCCTAGCTCAAACTCTTCCATTTTCTTCGGTGATATTTAATTGCAAAAGGCTATATAGCAAGGTTTGTTGAAGAGCAGACCTGGCCCATTTACCAAGTAACACCTGATCGTACATAAAGAAGTCATGAAGTAAGATTCTGTAAGCAGCCTGCCACTCAGCTGGAGTAGAGGAATGCAAGATTCTTCATCATGTTTTCCTTAATTTGGTTTTTATGCTTCAGGCCCTGAGATGCAGGCTGGGGCCTTGTCTCTACCCCTGGCTCTGGTGCATTCCAATCCTTTGGGAGATGAGAGCCTAAGGCAGTTCTGCAGAAGCTATTGCTAAGGTCAAAAGCTCTGCTTAAAGCTGATTTTGACTCTAGGTTTTATAAAAATGTAGTGCATTTCCAAGAATGTGGGGGAGAAAACATGTTAGAACTCTATAACCTTGCAGCTATAGATGTGACTTAAGTAACCATGGTTGAAGGGTAAGAACCATAAAGAATGCCAAATGTGGTAAAGGTAAAAGAAAATCCCGATGTTGAGGTCATTCCTACTCAGCTTTTAAAGTAAAAGGAATTAGGGTACAAGGGAAGGAATATCTGTGGCATAATGATTATGTAAATGAGTAGAATTTTCAGTGGTTTCAGCAATTTCTTGTTTCAGTCGTAAGGCAAATATTTCTTTATTTTGGTAAACTTCTATAACTACTTTCAAAAGTTTAATAAGAGTTTATTTTTGAAAACTATGCCTTCATTAGGAAAGTAGTGATATAGTGAGGAAATCATCATAAGCAGGATGTTTGTTTTGGTAAATGTGTGTGTTTTGATTATTTTAAATTAAATTTTATTTTTTACATGGGGTGGCAGAAGTGAAGATGAGATTGGTGGTTGCTTTTAGAGTCTAATGTTGACTTTGTGAAATGTTTTTTGATACTCTTTTGATTCTAAGTCTATTATGGGTCCTTGCAGATAGAAATAATGTTCATAATGTTAAAATTTATCTTGCTCCAGAGGTATACCATGGGGTGGATAAAGGGAGAACTTTTCCTACCTTTAAGACACATGCTAACACAAAAGCAGTTTCACAGTCTAGTTGTACTTCAACTCCAGAATTCAGTTTCTCTTTTAATTCCCTGCAGGATCTCATATTGGCCGGTTGCCTGAAGATGCCTTTTGTGAGGGGTCCTTTTTCATTAAGAAACAAAAGCACATCCTACGGGGAAGCAAAGAAAAAAACCAAAATGGCACTTCACACATACAAATAAGGGAACATGTGCTTGCCCTCTTTGGCTACCAGAGGCTAGGGTGTGCTAGGGTAAAGATAGAAAGGATTGGAGTTGGATGGATGGCCAGAAGGATTAAAATCAAGTTTTTGTAGAGCAGAATGGTAGTTACCGGGGATTGGAGATGGTGGTGGAGTTGGGGAGATATTGGTCAAAGGATACAAAATTTCAGTTAGATTGGAGGATTAACTTCAGGCGAGCTACTGTATAACACAGTATCTACAGTTAGCAATTTTTAAGAATACAATGCACTGTTGTTAAGAAAGTAGATTTTCCGTGTTTTCTAATTTTGCTTTCTATCTTTACATCCCCTGCTTGCAGTATAGAAAGAGAATGGGATTTGGAGACAAGCAATCCATGGGATTTGAAACCTAGTTATGTCATGTACTTACCGTGTAAACTTGGGTAAAGTTCTGAGGCTTTAAAAAATTTTGTAAAGTAGGGATGATTATATGATAATTATAACTCCCTACACAATAGTGGATAGACTAGTGCCTGGCACTTATAGGTCCACAATATAGCACTAAATGCCATACATGTACCATAGGGCTTAGAGGATACTCAATAAATTCTGCTTAGCAGTGGTTAACTTATCAGTTGGAGAGAATATAAACTCAGTGGCTTTTATCTGACTCATTTTATATGCAGAAGATAGATAAGTGTCTGAGACTATATCTTTATACTTAAATACTTGAAATACAAATAAAGCAGCTATTAAAACTTAAGCCTAAGATTGACCAGTCTCTGCTACTAAAGTGATAAAAGAAGACTTTCAGAACAATGTGGAGTTCAAGAAAGGATTTCTGAGGGATAATGAAGATTCTGTCTATACAGCAAAGCCTAATTTATCTGAGCAGGCTTATGTGGCTCTTTCTTATAATCAGTAGACTAGATTATGTCTTCCTACTATGTCTTCCTTATGATTCTGCAATAGCTAAATCAGATTTTATACTTTGAAGTAATAATAATAAAGATTCTTAGCCAAAACCAGGGTTATAGTTTTTCCATTTGGGGACAGATTTTATCTCCCAGAGCTCCCCCTTCCCAAATCCCCTTTTCCATTAGTTTATAGGCCAAAATGAGCCTTACCAAGATAGGCCTGGGCAGATTGTCATTCTCACAAATATTTGTCAGAGAAACTCCAAAGAGCTGTCCTGCCACAGGAGGAGATGTTGGCGGTGACAAGGGTAAGTTGTCCAGGTGAGTGGCAGAACCCCGCCAAAAGGCCCAGTTTATGATGGATCTTCTCCTTTTAAATGTCTTGTGACCTGAATCTAAGAAAGGAGTGAGATTATTAGCAAAACTAGTTTAACTCACTTAACCTTATTTCTACAATTTCCATTTTATAGCATATTCATTACAATGGCTCAAAGAGAAAAAATATGTTCATAGATGTCTTTTGTTGACAATTCAACCTATAAGATTTCATGAGAATGTTTTACAAATGAAAGAATACCCAATGAAAGAAGAATCAAATGTTTGGTTTCTCCCATCCATTTTGGGGACATCATTGGTCTGTTGACTTAAGTTTTGGTAGTAAATTTTCAAAGGAGAAAGAAAGGCTCCCTCATTGACCATTAACAACTTAAAGTAAAACATGTTGCATACCAACACACATAATTTTCCCATTTTAAAGATGAGAGTAGGCACACAGAAAAGTTTAAATTAGACCATAATTAAGTAATGAGAAAAAGAAAGTGAGAAGAGAGGATGAGGAGAAGAGGAAGTAGGAGGAAGAGAAGGACAAGCTGAAGATGAAGGGAGGGGGGAAAGAGGAGAGGAGTTGTCTCTATTAAGATGTTCTCTAGAAACAAAGAATGATTTATTACCTGATGTTCCACGCTACTACTGAGAACAGAGACGGGGGCTAATGTCCTTCAATTTTTTCTTTCCTTTGCTACTACAAAGACTTTCATGTTTCTTTTCTGTTTTTGGACTTTCAAAAGTATGTTAAAGGTAGCATGGATGGATGCAAACATGAGTGAGACTTGCCCCTACAAATGAAGTTTATAATCTAATAGAATGAGACTTGTCATGGTGGGGATAAAAGCAAGCATATTAACCAATAAAATGCCATAAGGGAGGAATAAAATACCAAAGGCATTCAGAGGAAAGTAAGTCACACCTACCCAGTTGAAGGGAGGGGAGTGATCTTAGAGCTATTTGCATTTGATTTGTATTTTGAATTAACAAGAATTCAACAAATAGAACATCCAGCATAGTGTCTTGCATATAGTAAGTACTCAATAAATCACTACTGAACAACAATTGAAAATGAGTGTTTTAATAGAAAAGACAGCATGAACAAAATAGGCAAAAGTAGGAAAGGTCAATAGTAAGTTATACTTTTATGATACCACAGTGTAAGAATGTTTTTGGTGTCTTCTGTGTCTAATTTTTAACATGAAAGTTAACACATTTGCACAATATTTGATACCTAAAACGACATCTCTTTAAGGTCCCACTTCTAAAAATGGCTGACCTCCTGCCCCTTCCCTGCAACACATATGCAGGTAACAACTGCAAACTCTGGATAAACAAAACAAACCTACTTGAAGGCACTAAAGAATGACTAAAACACGGCAGAACTGGAGATATAAGTTTGACACCTGGAAGAAGGTAATGGCATAACACTGGGTGAGTTTTACATTCTTAGAGCTTTTTGCCTGAAGGCAGGCCCTAGCATAGTGGGGGTGACTAAAATTGAGAGATAAACTTGTACTCTGTCTTGAACTAGAGAACTGGGACACAGGTACCCACAGCAGCTAAAAAGTGAAGGGGGATCCCAGAAAGAAAACCTGATAGTGGGAACCCTAAATATTGTGTGTACAATCTGCCCAAATACCTGGCTGATACTGAAGCTTGCATTTGTGGGGCAGATTCAAAATAGCCTGCAATTAAGGTAAGCAGAACTAAGATTTGAGAAGCCATAATGACCAGGTAGTGCCCGCTCATGTTGTAACTCCATTATCTCCAGTGAGAGTGCATGGGAATTAGTCATTTAACTCTGTGTGGCATTCTTCATTATGACACCCAACCAAGCTACCCAGAGATGATGTTTAGCTCCCAACCTTCTCTGATAATGAAACACTGAAGGAGATGATCTCTTCAAGGAGGAAATGGTCAGCAGTGTTAAAGGCTAATTTCAACTAAGTCTTCTGTATTGCTTGTCTATAATGTACCATAGCATTTTACTCCCTCAGAATAACCTACTTAAACCAAATATTTAAAAAGCCAAGTTGTGGGAGGATAAGCAAATAAGCAACATTTGACCAAATGGCTTGAAGACCATCTTCTATACTTCACTTCCGTGGGATAAAGTAAGTACATCATCACATACACACACTCAGGTGCGTAAAGCTCTTTGGCTCTGGAGTCAGGTCTTGGTTCAGACACTTATTTGGGTAAGTTACTTACCCTCTTTCTTCAACTTTAAAATAAAAAAAAAAATTACCTATTCCTCAGAGGCTTATTGAAGGGGATCATGTAGGATTATTGTCTGAAAAGTACTACTTTGCCAAGGGCATGGGTCACAGCAATGTTGATTAAAGCTGCCAAGATACCAATCTCTTCCTCACAAAGAGGACCTCCTCTCTGCATCCACTCTCCATTTGGTTTCACAGCCTTCAGGAGGTTTTGCAGACATGAAGGAATATCAATCCTCTGCTTAGCTAAAGCACTTTCATGCTTCCCTGACATTCCCAACCTCTACCAGTTTAAAAAACAGAAACTAAACCCTTTATTAAATCTAAGAAGGGGTCCCTCTATGTCTAGCAATGTCAATCTGTGCAAATGTTGGTTTCATATGTACATTAATATTAATATATATGTTAAGTAGTTGTACTCAGTCTGATTTGCTCACATCTAACTTAATTTCATTATTTCTTAAACTATCATATTTATTTGACTTTTTTTTTTTTTAGCTTTCACACACTTCTGAAGAAGAATGCTTTATTAACAGGTTATATACCAGCTATCCTATGAGTGCTGACAGAGGACAAAGAATTGAGTCCTTTACTTTATCGTAAGTATTTTTAGCTGTAGCCATGCCTTTTGTTTATATACAGCATTCAACTCGAGAGTTCAGGTTTCCTCTGGGACTAAGAAAATAAATTTCATTAAAGTTTACTTTCTTGCATAGTTTGTAATACACAGCTCTTACTAAATGTCAAAAGCTGATAAAAAAAACATGCTATTACTATGAAAAATGAGTAATGTAATTATAAAGCAAACTAAATTCATATAAATCAAGATTTCCTAGGTAACTCCAGTAAGATTCAGGCTGGTGCTTTTTCATGCTTAAATTGGGGAACTGAATATTAAAAATTACAGTTCTTAAAACTTGTGCTTATATAATAATCATAATAAAAATTTTAATTAGAAATTCTATTCTGGCCATATAACTCTCCAAATAACAATACCTCCCCCCTAGTAAGAATAGGAAACACACAGGGGAGAACACTGGTATGACAGGGCAAACAGGTAGAAGAAAAAAATGTGTCCCATATTTTACCATCTACCATAAAAGTTCAATTCAGGCTGGAACTCCAAGAACTACTTCAGACCACACTCAGAAAGATCCCACTTAATTGTAGAACTCTTCCACTCCACTCAAGTTTGTTCACACTAGGGGAGACTAAGTCATTCAATCTTTCATTTAACTTCTCCTCTGTTTTATACACTTGACTAAGCCCTGGTATGTGTGCCCAGGTCTTAAGAAGCTTATAGTCTAAAGATACATGTAAATATATAAACAAATAATCATGACATAATTTTTAATGTGTTATATTGGAGATATATGTAAGTGCTCTGACTACCTGCCTGAAGGAGTAAAGATTTCTGAGAAATGATGTGAGTTGGGCCTTGAGGTCACATCTTTGAATGTCTAGATCTTGAACTCCCAATTATCACTACAGCTATCTCACTGGGAACTCAACACCTCAAGGATGAGTTACAGTGATCTAAGTCTCAGGGGATGGCCTATTGGTAGTCTGTGTTCAGTGTAAGACTATTTATTAATAGTAGGATGTCTTCTCCACACTGAGGGAGAAATTTGCAAAACAGACTGGGGACGACTCTGCTTACCTATGGTTATGATGGTTAAGAGGGATCTTTTCCTTAAGCTAATTACAAAAAGCCTAAGAAACATAGATATGGAGTTGTGACTATCTAATTGTGGCTTATTTTATTCAGGTGGTTTAAAAATTAAGTATTAATTGTTCTCAGCCAGTTCTCTAATAGAAATTTTCTATTGTTCTCAGCCAATACTCTAAGAAATTTTCTCCCTCTTTTATATCCCTGTTAACCCTGGAAACAAGATATGATTTTCTACATAAGAGACCATGCAAAATATCTACTTCCTAGGATTAAGAAATTTAAGAATTTATGAATTCTGTGGATTTTTTTTTTCTTTTTGAGACAGTCGCACTCTGTTGCCTGAGCTAGAGTGCTGTGGCATCAGCCTAGCTCACAGCAACCTCAAACTCCTGGACTCAAGCAATCCTGCTGCCTCAGCCTCTGTCTCCCAAGTAGCTGGGACTACAGGCATGCGCCACCATGCCCAGCTAATTTTGTCTGTATATTTTTAGTTGTCCAGATAATTTCTTTCTATTTTTAATAGAGATGGGGTCTCACTCTTGTTCAGGCTCGTCTTGAACTCCTGACCTCAAGCGATCCTCCTGCCTTGGCCTCCCAGAGTGCTAGGATTACAGGCGTGAGCCACTGTGCCTGGCCTGGATTTTGTTTTTGTTAAATTTTTTTTTTCAGATATGGGGTCTCACTATGATGCCCAGGTTGGTCTTGAACTCCTGGTGTCAAGTGATCCTCCCAAAGTGTGGGAATTACAGGTGTGAGCCACTGTGTTCAACCCTGGATTTCAAATAAATAGGCCATAATACAGTGTGATAAACTCTGACTGTACCAAGTGGCACTTGGTAAATAAGGCCAAATTCTATATGTTTATAATATATGCTGAAAAAAGAAGTATTAACTCATTTTTCCCTTTTAGAAGTCAGGTTAATATTAAATAGTTGGTATGTATGTGAACAAGAGTAGAGAAAAAGAGTGAAAAGACTATTGTTCTTATTCTGATTTTCTCATAAGGGAGTCTTTTTAATTTTGATTTATGTTAGGAATGAGCTGGGGCACAGAGGGTGGGAAAGGTGACAAAAGTGTGGAATTTAAAGTACATTGCATTTTGATAATCATATGGCCATATTTTTATATTACAATAAGGCTATGAGAATAATGAAAACAATCTCCATAGTGGTGTGTT